TTTTTTTTACCTAGCGGGAAGTCAGCTTGGGAACAAAGCTGACACATGCAGTAAGAAAGAACTGAGAAAAGCAAAGGAACTAGAACCAGAAGCTTGATCAGGTATCTCCTGAAATCCCATTGACCTCTGGGATTTTCATTGGTTGAGCCAATTAAAAATTTGGTGAGCCAAGCGCAGTGGTGTATACCTAGAGTTGCCTGTAGTCCCAGCCACTCGAGAGGCTGAAGTAGGAGGATCACTGGAGCTCAGGAGTTTGAGTCCAGCCTGGGAAACAGCCTGTCTCTAAAAAAGTAAATAAAAATGCATACTTTTAAGTCGGGTGGGGTGGTGTGCCCCTGTAGTCACAGCTACTCAGGAGGCTGAGGCAGGAGGATTGCTTAAGGCCAGGAATTTGAAGGGATAGTGCATTATGATCATGAACAGCTCCTGCACTCCAGCCTAGAAAACATATGAAATCCCGTCTCAAAAAGTAAATTGGTATTTAAGCTGATTTGTTAGTTTCCTAAATCATCTGCAACTGAAAATACCCTCAATATCCTCATTGATATTGTACTTTATTATTATTGTCATCTTCCCATGTATATCAAACCTTCGTCATTAGATCATAATGTCCTTTGGAACAAAAACGAGCTTCCTAAGTAGTATGCTGCCGTTCCACCTAGTACAGATCTGGCACGTAGCAGGCTCTTGTCCATTCACGCTTGTGTCAGGTATTCATTTCCGTTTCGTATCTATGGACTTGGAGCATTTTTTTTTTTTTTTTTTTGAGACAGAGTTTCACTCTGTCACCTAGGCTGGAGTGCAGTGGCGCAATCTCGGCTCACTGCAACCTTCGCCTCCTGGGCAGAAGCAAACCTCCTGCCTCAGCCTCCCAAGCAGCTGGGACTACAGGCATGCACTACTATGCCCGGCTAATTTTTGTGTTTTTAGTGGAGATGGGGTTTCACTATGTTGGCCAGGCTGATCTCAAACTCCTGACCTCAGGTGATCTGACCGCCTCAGCCTCCCAAAGTGCTTGGATTATAGTCAGGAGCCACCATGATGCCTGGTCCAAACTTGAGCTTTTTTTTTTTTTTTTTTTGAGACGAAGTCTTGCTCTGTCGCCAGGCTGGAGGGCAGTGGTGTGATCTCGGCTCACTGTAACCTCCGCCTCCCAGGTTAAAGCCATTCTCCTGCCTCAGCCTCCCAAGAAGCTAGGACTACAGGCATGCACAACCACTCCTGGCTAATTTTTGTATTTATAGTAAAGATGGGGTTTCACCATGTTGGCCAGGCTAGTCTTGAACTTCTAACCTTGTGATCCACCTGCCTCAGCCTCCCAAAGTGCTGGGATTACAGCCGTGAGCCACTGTGCCCGGCCCAGACTTTGAGCATCTTAAGGCAGAAACAGGAGGTGGCCAGAGTCCCACATAGGGTGATGCCTGCTGCTGCTTTGTCCTCTTACTGTCTATAATGAGAAGAAAGTAAAATACTTAATAGATTAGCTCACCCTTATTGAGCACCAGGCATTGTACACACAGGATCACCTTTTTTCCTATCAGTTACCTGTGGGTATATTATTAATGCCCTGTTTCACAGATTGGACATTTATGCTCAACAGTGATATTACTTACGTAGATCACACGGCCTCTACGTAGCATAATTTAGGATCCTGGACTGAAATTACTCTATCCATAACTTTTTCTCATTCTACTTTAAAGAAAATGAAATTAGAAGTCTTAGATAATGCATTCCGTGTATGGCTTACACATGAAAGACAGTGTACAGCTCTAATCAGCAGACCCATACTAAAAAATTTTGAACTGCTGTCAAGAAATAAATGTACATCAACTTTAAATAAAATGTTTATGGTATGTATGATTCATTTTTTATGACTTCCCACTTTCCTAGCATAACTCACCATTTTCCCAGTCACATCAGAGAGATCTTTACGGCTTTCTTTCTGGAACATAACAGCTTAAAAATCTAAATAGGATCATGCCAAACCTATTGTTCTGCGACTTGACTTTTTTCAGCTAATAATAATCTCTTGGAATCTTTCCATGTCCGTACATATAGATTTACTTCATTCAATGTAAGTGCAGAACGCTTTTCAATAGCAAGGATATGCCATAATTTTACGACTTCCCACAATTAATGGGCATTTGGGGCCTGCCTCACCAGTGTCTGCTTCTATACATCATGTGCCATCAGCACTGTTGCACTTGCTGCTTTATGCATTCAAGTGCCAGTGGAAGGAAAAAGATCCTGAAGTCTTGATTCTATCAATTAAGTGGTCCAAGAAAGAGAATGAGCATCTCGAGGTCTCCATCTTTAACAGCCTTACAGTCTGGAGGGGAACAGACACACACATCGCTTTTACTTAGGGAGATGGGGGTCAGCTAAAGGTTAAAGGAGTGCAGGAAGAGGGAGACCGAGGGGTTCTGTTGAGGGGAGGCCTGAGAAGGCTGCCTGGAGGAGGTGTGCTTGAGTCCTGGGTTCCAGGGTCAAAGGGCTCTGACGCTTGTTCTGCTAATCTTTCTTATCGTATCGTTGCTTGGCAGTATGCCTGTTAGTTGAGTGGACTCTTTCTTGGACCATTTGCTTGGATGAACAGGGGCAGAGGTGGAAAGGAAGGGTGCTCGGGACAAAAGTGACAAAGCCCAGGAACAAAAGTGGGAAGGTGCACGGTGTGCCCAGAGGGCCAGGAATTGGGTGGAGTGACTGGCTCCTTGGTCACTTGCAAATAGCATGAGAATGGAGGGGACTGGGGGCATGCTCTAAAAAGCACCCAAGAGGAATTTAGGTTTGCACAGAAAAGGCTGTTTCTTTGGGGTATGTGAGGAAGGTTGGGTAGAGAATTTAGGGATGGAGCAGACGGCTCTGGTTGGGATGATGAGAGTGGAGAGACAGATCCATGTTCTTTCCAGGTTCCCCAGCAGCTCCAGCTCTCCCTGAACCTGTTACATGGCAGCCTCTAGGCTTCACTTTTGGGGATTGCTTCTGCTTTGAAATAGCCACGTGGAAGAAAAATTACAAAGTTTTGAGGGGAAAAAAACCCCACCTAACTTTAGCTGCCATTGTGTCTTCATCTGTAAAAATCTTCTCCTTGTCTCATGGATTTCAACGTGCAGTTTGTCTTGGTTTGTTTCATGAAACATCAGATGCAACTTTAATGGCCTAACCCCAAAAAGATAACTTGACAGCCATCAAACGTTCAGCAGCGTTCCAAATACCCTCTTGCTGGAGCTGGCCTTCTACGGGGCCATGTGGATGTCAGGCACACACAATTTGAGTCACGCTGACATAGCTGGGATGCCTGGATTGCGCTGGAATCTCGGGGGGTACCAATCACAGGCCAGAGAGAAGCCATTGGCTGGAAGGAACAATGCCAGAGTGTTCACCGTCTCTGCAGAGGAGCGGGTGTTGGTGGTGAGGGGAAAGACAGTTGCAGCCAGAGGAGGAAAGTGACCCCAAAGCAGGGTGGGCGTATGTCAGTGATGCTGGGCAGAAGCATTCCAGGGGCTCAGGTCATGACCACACCCCTCTCCTCCTGCTCCACAACCAAAGAAATTAAGAAGGCACAAGATTTTCCCTAAAACTTCATGTACGGAATGCCCTGCTGTCTTCAGGGGTTTGGGAAATCCAAGGTTGACAACAGCCCAAATTTATGAAGCACTTACCTGTACCAGACACTGTCTGTATCTCACAAATAAGGCATCTGATTCTCAATAAGGGTGAGCTAATCTATTAAGTATTTTACTTTCTTCTCATTATGGACAGTAAGAAGACAAAGTAGCCGCAGGCCATCACCCTATCTGGGACTCTGGCCACCTCCTGTTTCTGCCTTAAGATGCTCAAAGTCTGGGCAGGGCACGGTGGCTCATGGCTGTAATCCCAGCACTTTGGGAGGCTGAGGCAGGTGGATCACAAGGTCAGGAGTTCAAGACTAGCCTGGCCAACATGGTGAAACCCCATCTTTACTATAAATACAAAAATTAGCCAGGAGTGGTTGTGCATGCCTGTAGTCCTAGCTTCTTGGGAGGTGACAAATCCTGCAACCAGAAATGGGCAGAATCAAGACTTGAGCCACAATCTCTCAAAAGCCAAAGCCTGGGCACTCACTACTACCCTCCGCAGCCCTGTGGCTGGTTCATGCCATCTGTGCCACCCCCACACAGCCACCTCTTAGATGGCAGAGCCCTGTGTGTTGAACAAGTAGAGAAAACTTCTAAAAGGGCTGTTTTCCCTCCCCGGTTTTCCTGGGGGTTGAGTAGACATGTTTAAACACGCTGCTCTTCTGAAGCTTGTTTACTTTGGTGGTTGTGATGTGCAAGACCCCAGACCAGGGACAGTTAGAGGGCCTAAGGACAACCCCAGCATGGAGGCTGCTCTGCAGGAGGCTGCAGACTGGAGAAACTATTGTAGCCAGCTGCATTTTGGAAGCTGGGTTGCATGTCTTAGATCTCTAATGAGTTTGGTCATTATTTTTTCAGCCAGGGTTTTCTTCCTCCCGCCCTCTCTCCCTTCCTTTTTTCCTTCCTTCTTTCCCTTCTTTTTTCCTTCCTTCCTTTCTTCCATCCTTTTTCTCCCTTTTTCTGTGTCTCTCTTTCTTTCTTTCTTTCTTTCTCCCTCCTTCCCCCCCCCCTTTTTTTTTTAAGGTGTAAGCCTTTTTCTGGTTTACTACATGCCAAGGACTGTGCCAAATCATTCACATAAAACCATGAGCATGCATCACCTTATTTGGTCCTCCCACAGTCTAATGGGTAGGTACTGTCATTATCCTCATTTTAAGAAGAAACTGAAGCTCAGAGAGATTAATTGATGTCTCCACCGTCTGCCTAATTCAGTACCCGGCACCCTTAACCCCTATTAACTAACAACATCCCAACAGCTCCCTAATGCTGTAAAGGGCACTGTTTTAAATGTGTCCATTATATCGACTCACGCACTCCTCAAAACAAGCACAATAGAGATTACTATTATCCTTGTTGAATAGATTGAGAAACTGAAGCACAGAAAGGTCATGTAATTTTCCCAGGTCACCCAGCTAGTAAGTGACAGAGCTGGGCTCCTGTTTTTACTGAGGAAGACACTCCTCAGTTTTTGTTTTGTTTTGTTTTTCACTTGAAATACCCTGTGATGGCCCAGAGTGGAATGCCAGGGTCCTGAGAATAAAGTCTCAGAGCTGAACTGGGAAGGGGTGCCAGTGGCGGCTGTGTCCCCGGCGGCTCTGGAGGGTGGAGGCGGTGGAGAGAGCGACTACACAGCAGCCACAAACCTGGTCCCCCGCCAGGGGAGACCTCAAAGCCCACTGGATGGCTGGCACCCCTGTGCTGGGCTGTGCAGAAATGCGAGTCGCGGCTTCCAGGAGACCAGCCGAACATGGTCCTCGGGAGAGGAGAAAGCCCGAGGGAAGGGCTGGCAGGACCTCAGCTCTGAGAAGGGCTTCTCTGTAGGAGACGGGAGGTAGGTAGCAGCTCTCCCAAGAGCCAGGCAAGCAAAAGTAGGTTTCTGTTTGAGCAGCAGCTAGGGGATGTCAGGGAGAGAGAGAAAGCCGTTGCCAACAGTGCGTAATGTTCAGCCCTGGAAGAGGTGACCGTGGAGGGGGGCTCTAGAAAGGAGGTGGGCTGCCCTTAAGCCGGCCTCTTGATTATCTCTGCCCCTAACCTTTGGGAATCCTGTCCATCTTTAAGCCCCTGGCACCAGTGACTCCACTCTGTGAATCCCCTCCTGACCAACCATCCCCAACACCCATAAAACTCCAAGTTCTTTTGGGGGAACAGAAAGCCCAAGTGCCCTGAGGTCCAGGCTGGTCCACATTCATCCCTGGGTGGGCTGTAGGTCAAACCAGCCATGTGGGTGATGGATGCCTCAGACACTCTTGAAGCTAGCCCAGTTGGTCCTGGTGCCCCCAGTAACACTCACACCCTATTCTCCCGCAGCAAATAGACCCTCCCTACTGTTCATTTGGCCGTGGGTATTAGGCATCACGTGACCTCACTGGTATGGCATCTCCTGGTGTTAGCGGCTTCTTGCATGAGCGCATTTCTCATACACTCAGACACTTGGTGAATGCTTACCATGTGCCACCACTGTAACTGCTTTATGGGGTTATCTCATTTAATTCTCCCAAGAACCCCATGAGTTGGTGTTATTTTTATCACCTATTACAGGGAAGGAAACAAGGACCCAAATTCTCAGTGGCTACGGGATGAGCTGGGACGCAAACACAATATTAGAACCCCGGCCATCAGAGTCTATGATTTGTCCCTGGTTTGTGTCTCAACAAAAAGAAGTCAGAGCCTTTCTTACTTCCTTAAATCTCCTATAGCTCCTGGTGAGTGTCTGCTTACAGTAGTTCTTCTAAAAAGTGTGGGCTTTTACTCACTGTTCAAAGATATTTCTAGTTTGGTTTTTTAATGATCCGTGAGACAGGTGCTCTTAATAGGACAAAACAGTGTTGAATCCGTGGTAGACAAAATCAGGTACTTTTTGGAAGAAATAAGAGAGAGATTGCAGGCCATGTCTTAGAAAACTTTGTTCCAAGTCTTTTTGTTTGTTTGTTTTTTTGAGACAAGAGTCTCGCTCTGCCGCCCAGGCTGGAGTGTAGTGGTGTGATCTTGGCTCACTGCAACCTCAGCCTCCAGGGTTCAAGCAATTCTCCTGCCTCAGCCTCCTGAATAGCTGGGATTACAGGCGCGCACCACCACGCCTGGCTAACTTTTGTATTTTTGTAGAGACAAGGGTTTTACCATGTTGGCCAGGCTGGTCTGGAACTCCTGAACTCAAGTGATCCGCCCACCTCGGCCTCCCAAAGTGCTGTGATTACAGGCGTGAGCCACCGCTCCCGGCCGTGTTCCAAGTCCTTAAGGTAACAAAGAGAAATGTGAGAAGCCCATTTGGGAATGAAGGATGCAGGAAAGCGCTAATTGAGGCAGCTGATCAGAATCTTTTATTAATGGCTCTCTTTCTTTTGTCCCCGCTTCCAGGAGATTCTACAATGAAACTGGCAGACTCCTCCTCGTCTCTACCTGTGCTGTCTCCCTCTCTAGTCCCAGACACTGAGAGCAGGTGCCCCGTGGCCCCGTCAAGCCAGATCACCAAGAAGACTGCATGCCTCGCTCTAGCCTTCCTAAGATGGGAAAGTAGACTCCTGTGTTTGAGGGAAATTGCCTGATTTTGAGAGAAACATAAAGGAATTTTTTTCCCTTAAGTGAACATTCAGCTTGTAAAAATGAAATCTGGAAGAACTTCTGCAATCTCTTGAGTGTTCTGGTCAATTGACCTTTTGCTGCACCAAGCAAATCTGAAGCCACCAATAAATTGGGGAGAAAGATAACCCCTTCACAAAAGGCTTGTCACTGAGCCAGACACTCTGGTGCAGTGCTTCTTTAAATAGAGAACATTTCTGATATATTTTATTTATTATTTTTTTAATTAGAGTCGGGGTCTTGCTCCGTTGCCCAGGCCAGAAGGCAATGATCTGATCAGAGCTTATTATAGCCTTGAACTCCTGGGCTCAAGTGATCTGCCTACCTCAGCTTCATGATTCATTGGGATTACAAGTGTGAGCCACCATGCCCGGCTCTTTTCCTGGTATATTTTAAATGTTTTCATTTGCTTGAAAGTGAGATTTATCTGTTGTATTCAGAAAATCTGGCAAGATGTACCTGATTTCTTGAGATCTCTAAAAATCACGTGATGTTAACATTGAAAGGGGCATTTGAGTCTCAGATTCTTACTTTAAAGATGAGGAAACTGCGGTCTGGAGAGGTTAATTGACTTGTTTAGATCACACAGCGTTGTGTGTAGCAGGCTGCCCAGTCTCCAGCTGTCTCCCATTACTGTGCATCTTCCTTGCACCCGAGGTATGCAGGGAAGCTCACCTCCCAGTCAGGCCTCTCTACCTGGTCCTCAGCTGCCATCACAGATATTTAATCACTGATTCCTTTTGTGGATTTCATTGCTATGTTTTCCTTTTACTATGGAAACGTTTCAAACATAAAAGAAGATAATATAATATAAATAACTACCATGCCCCCTCACCCAGCTTCTGTAATTATTAGCACACTGCCAGTCTTTTTTTCTCTATACCTGACCCCAGTTCCCCCTCCCACCCAGATGACTTTAAGGCAAATCCAAACATCATGCCATTTCATCTCTGAATGCTCCGTGTGTAACAGTGGGTGAACCCTCTCCTACGTACATATATGTCCCAGTACAATTGTCACAACTAAAAAGAGTGAACGATAATTCCTTAATATCATCACATTTCCCTGATTGTCTTTCTTACTACGTCTCTGTCTGTCTGTCTCTCTCTCTCTCTCTTTGCAATTGGTTAGAATAAAGATTATCAGGTAGAATTATGAGCTGATCATTCCCAGTCCTTGCATTAGAATTTTGCCGAATGAAGGAAAATAAATTGCATAATAAGGAGATTTTATAATAGCCACAGATCACATTTATAAATGCCTTTATACTTCCTAAGTCTCTTTAGTCATAACTGTCTTTGTTTTTTGAGACCGAGTCTCATCCTGTCACCCAGGCTGCAGTGTGGTGAGACACTCTCGGCTCACTGCAACCTCCGTCTCCCGGGTTCAAGCAATTTTCCTGCCTTGGCCTCCCCAGTAGCTGGGATTACAGGCACCCGCCACCACGCCCGGCTATTTTTTGTTGTTGTTGTTTTATTTTTCATAAAGACAGGGTTTCACCATGTTGGCCAGGCTGGTTTCGAACTCCTGACCTCAAATGATCTGCCCGCCTCGGCCTCCCAAAGTGCTGAGATTACAGGCATGAGTCACCGCACCTGGCCAACCGTAACTTTCATGTCAGTTAGGGAGACAGGTATCCTTTGCCTCCATGGAATCTAATTAGCGGTTGAGCTCAGATCTCCCACGCTTCCTGACTTGGCTCTTTTTACTGCAACAAAATCTCATTATAACTCCCATCTCATTAAAATTATAGCTTCAGTTTTGCACAGCTTATTAGGATCACCCCTATTCTAAATACTTCCTGTGTAGAAGCTTGTGGAACCTTTATGACAGCCTTGTGGAGGACATGCTTGGATTCTCATTGCACTGCTGGGGAATCTCAGGCACAGAGGAGTAGAAACGTTTTTCAAGGTCGCCCAGCACGGGCATTTAAGCCCAGGTCTTTCTGATTCTAGAGCTCCTGCTTGCAATAGCTGTTAGACGTGAGCATCACGTAACAAGGTGACTGTAATTCACAGCATCAACTTTATCCTTATTCCCTTTTAGAATTTGGCTTGAAATGTGAAACAAAACCACATTTTAAAAAACGCTACTATTTCATAAATGTGGATGTGATTTTCCTTTATTCAAATTCATGAAAATCAACATGACCCTCGACTGAAAACTGCAGAGCTGAAAATGAATCCAAGACCCTGAACTGTCCGTCCCGGCCTCACTCAGCCGGTGGCTTAGCGCCACTTGGTCCCTGCCTTGGCCTGACCCTGCTTGCTCTGTCTTGTGCTTTCAGGAGCAGTCAAAGCCCTTTTTAGAAAATATTTCCTGGTCTTCTCTGGCATTGGATGGACAGAGTTTTCCACTAGGCCTTTTTTTTTTTTTTTCCCAGCCACACTGGCCCTTAAGAAGATGTTACTCAAGGCTCCACACCTACTTCAGACATTTTTAGGGGCCCTGACTGGGGCCTTGCGCAGAACTGCCAGGAACCCTACAGAGAGGAGGAGCCCAGCTCTGGGGGCCTCGCCTTGCTCTCAGTGTTTACCGAGCCGCTGCAGAGGTCCTGCTGTCAGTGTGCTGATTCTCTTTCTCACACTTCCCCAAACAGCATAGTCTTGTTAGGCAGCTGTTTCTTGCAAGGCCTTCTTTCAGCCACGGTCGCTTTTCCCATGTTTGTAACCCTGGTGTTTCACCCCTTCCTTTTTTTTTTTTGAAGGGCTTTTCCCCTAAGTCTTTCTGTCGCTGAACAGCTGTGCTCTGATATTAGATAGAATGTTTTCTGTCCTCACCACAAGCTTATGAACAAAAGGGTTTTAAGAACCCTGATAAATGAACAAGGTCTCTGGGAAGATGAAATGTTACCAACGTTTCAAACAATCAAAATCCTTGTGCATCTCGAAGGCTTTGCCCTTTCAAAGCAGTGCTGGGTGGGTATTTTGTCTTGGAGCCTTGGAGACTGTAATTTTTTTTTCAGTCTCCCTATCGACCTGACATGGGAAAGTTGGTCGGAAGATGGGCCTTTACTGCCATCAAAGCCCCGAGTTTGCTTTCCTATTGGCTGTTTGTCCTGCTTTCAGGCCCCTCTGGAGAGTTTCGGGGGGTTCTCTCAGCAAAGAGAGGCCAAGGCTGGGCACTTTGGTTTCTGTTATCTTCCAGTTTCTGTTGAGGTTCTGTCCTCATCTGAAACAAACTTGTGGACACCCTTGATTGGGCGCTGCCTGTGTGTAGGTGTGAGCACCTGCCATCCTCCTGTTCCATCTGCAGAGCAGCCTGTGGTGTCTGCATCGGGACCTCCAACTTTCACAAGTGGAAACTGAGAGTCAGAGAAACTAAGCGGCTTGACCAAGGCTGCTTAGCAAGGTTGTCTGCAACGTGGATCCAGCTCTCCAGCGAGTGGTGGAGCCAATATTCATGCCCAGACGTGTTGGACTCTGAGGCCTCTGCTGTCTTCAGTAAAGAGTCCCTGAGTGGCCAAGGATGGCCAGAGAGGGGGACTCCTAGACTATTCTGCCTTCTTCCTTCCATGTAGGACCTCCTTCTAAACCAAAGGGGTTCTCCTTTATTTAAACTCCTCACCTTCCCATCTTTGCCCCCCATCGTACCCCCTGGAATGCGCACGGTCTTCCGTGACTTATTTTAATGTTGTCAAAAGCCCAGTCCGGGGTCTGAGCCCAGACGTTTTGCTCTCCAGCTCAAGCCTCTTCCTGGTACTGCCTCACATGGGAACAGAAAGGTCAAGGCTTAAAGTAAAATGACAGATGGAAAGAAAAGCCTTCCCCAGCCTGTGGAGCTCCGTGAAATCCTTCATTATGGGATTTCCCTTGTCAGGGCTACAAGGAGAAGCCTGAAGGCTCACGGCAAAATCAACAACACATAAAGGCACTGTATAGGCAGGCATTGCTCATCGCAGTGAAAACATCTGACAGGCGGTCCCAAGGGTGATGCAGCAGGATGATGGGGAGGGAGGAGGGGGAGAAGAGAGGGACGAGAAGAGGAAAATGACCAGCATCGGGATTTCATTTGCTCCCTGTCGGCACCATGCCTTCTCCCTTCCCTAGAGATCTTCTCTTCTGAAGAAGAGATCTTTTACAAATGCAGAAGAAAGACTGGCTAGCTCCAAGGAAGAAGATATAGAAAACATCTGAATCTAGAGACCTAGACACATCCTCCTCTGGAGATCTTGAAGGCCAGGGTTGAGACTTATCATCCGGGGAGTTTAGGGAAGGACCTGCAAGGAGGCGGAGGCAGGGACTCATGATGTCAGCCCTGTGGATTCAGGAGAGAGGAGTGGTCACAGGTTGCCTTGGGGGCATTCTCATCTCAAGCCAGAGTAAGGCCAAGGCAGTAAGTCCACACAAGGGACGACCAAGAGGCCGGCACACATGGCGCAGACTCCAGACACCCCTGTCCCTGCCCGTACATCAGGCTGCACACCTTTTTCTCATCTCCGCACACCTTTCCCCGTCTTTTCTAATTTCCTTTACCCTTTGAAGCTTCCTATCACCTCTATGGGAAAATGCAGACAAAGCATCTTTTCATGGGGTTTTCATGTCAATAAAGAAAACCCTTGCAGGACACGGAGTTGATCACAAAGCACATGAGTCCAGCAGGCTAGGGAGGGGCTTCATTCTTTGGAAGAGAAGCAGGGGCAGATTCTGTGCCCAGAAGGGAGCTGCATCCCCTCGGCTGCCCCATGCACTCCCTAAGTGGGGCACCTCCAGGTCCTTCGATGTTAGGGGAAACTGAAAAGTGCAAAGACATTTTTGCAGTAGCTTTTGGGAGTATGCTCTGGCACCTCCGGGGGTACAGAATGTGTGATGCTGGTGACGGTGTGGCACGGGGAAGGTCCCGTGGGTTCCACACCCAGTAAACAGCCACGAGTCCTCTCTAGTCTCCATTTCTCCTTTGGTCAAAAAGGAGTTCAACTTAATTATCCTGCTTGCGTCGTATGGAAAACAGGATCTAGGGAGAGAAGGTTTGGAAAGTTCTTAGAAAGGTTAAAAGAGACATATTAAGTGTGGTTGTTGTTATCCTGGACTTCAGGGAGCGGAGGAATAGGAA